CTCTTTGAAAACCTCGACGACTCTCTGTCGGCTTTGAATTACAGGATCACATCTTGCTGCTTTAAGGTTCTGTTCCAGCTTAACATTTTCCAGGTCTGACTACATTTAGCTTATTTGCTACTGTGTCTTGTTGCTTCCTGTTTTATTTTGGTAGCGATTGTTGGAAGAAAACTGCTCTCCCAGTTAGTTTTACTTGTCCTAGTCAGATCGCTCTTTGTCTCTATAGTTGTGTCTCATCTTTGCGTGTACTTGTGTTTATACTTTTCTTTAATAAAGTCTTATTTGTTTGCTTTTTGGGCTGCTGGCGAACGCTCATGACAACACAAGAAAAACTTCTCAGTGTGTCTAAAGTATAACACCCTGATCATGTACATCACCAACACTGCAGTTATTTTCTCTGCTTTACAGTTTGGTTAGTTTTGGTTTCACGTCACGGCTGATCCCAGGAGTTCTCACCACTTTGCTTGGATAATAAAACACAACAGAGATGTGCGGCTGCTGTTATCAGACCCTCACCTGCTGCATGAGAATCTCTGGATCATCAGGAACTACGTCTCCATCCACAACAGGCCCAAAGGCGATGTGATAGCGGGCCGGCTGGATGTCTTGGTCCACCAGCTCTCTGAAGTTCTTGCGCCTCAGGCAGTCAACCAGGTCAGCCGTCTCTGCGTAGGTGCAACCCACCTTCCGGGCCAGGATCTTGGTGTACTTGAGGGGTTGGTAGTTAACGGACCAGCTGGAGATGGCTGTGCCACTCTGCGCTATGGCCCTGTGGAACAAACCTGAAAGGAGACGTGGGAAAGAAAGACATTTTGGTGAGGTTCAGGGCAGAGGGAGGATGCCTGATGTATAAATCACATAACTTTCTTTCTGCTAGAGAACTTGATTAAAAATACAGTTTAACAATTTTTCCTCATCACGTTTCTTACTAGAGAAAAGCTGGTAGACACAGGATGGGACTACAGACCCAGAGCATCACTGACAGAGCATGCTATGGAGCTTTAGCTCCAAAAAGTGGAGGCAGGACTGGGAAAAAGCTCATCTGAGATGTCAAAAGATCTATTTTTTCCTTTCTTGAGCTGCTTTTCCCCCCTCCAAGCTTCTCTTGGATGTATTTTCTCCTCTCTGTCTCCCTCTTTCTCTCTCTCCTTTAGTTCTGGCTGTCCTGTGCTGTTTAAACCACTCAAGTGGCTCATTAAGGGGGCCGCCTGGCTCTCTCTCGTTTCCTCCCGAGCTCCCTTTTTTCTTTCTCTCCCTTCTCCTGGGCCGAAGATTGGTCAGTTAATTATTAAGCAGAGCTGCAGAGCCTTCTTTCCCTGGGAAATCAATTATAGTAAGAAGTAGCTTGGAAACAGCTATACCTACATATCTGCACCGAGAGAGGCCGAGGAGGGGAGGAGAGACAGACAGAGAGGGTATATTTTATTCGTCTTCAAAATCAGTTTCTTTGTCGCTCCTTTAGTGCCTCTTGCCTTCGCTGCTTGAAACCTTGCTCTACTTGGCTGCTGCTTTTTTCGTATTTTCCATTTCAAAGCATTTTATTCCCTCTTTCTCCTCTTCAGCATAGACTCCTGTTTCTCATCCTGTCCTTGCCTCACTCCTCTTAACTGTGGATGGATACTGATTACTGTCCTCTGCCTCCCTCTAACCTTCATATCAGTATCACTAACAACCCCCTCCCTACGTCCTGCTATCCCTCCTGTAAGCCTGTGATGTCAGCCCTGATCTGTGACACTGTGTTGTTGACATGATTGGTGTCCATTAAGTGTGAGGATGACAGACTCCTTACCTGGCACCCTGGTGGAGGGGAGAAGGGGGGGGAGGCATGACAGACAGGTGGCGTCTAGTGGACTGATGTAACGCCATTAGATGCTGATGAAGAGGAAGATGACGACGGGGTGATGACAAAGCGCAGGCATGAGGACAGACAGGTGACAGTGAGGGACGGGGTGAGGCTGGTTGTCAGCAACAAGACAAAAGGGGTTAAGAGTTGCATTCCTCGGTTTTTAAGGTTGTGCTTTAGATTTTTTGTTTTATTTGAGCTCATGTTGGAGCTGGAACGTAATCATTATGGATTAGCATTAATGCTAGAAGCAGAGCAAGTTAGACACTATAATTAGAGACATCTCTGGAGCTCACTTGTTGATTTAATCCTTGCAGAGAGTAAGAAAATGTGAAGAAAAGGTAATATTTTACATTAAAGCACATAAATCTACAACTGACAAGCTGCTTATTAGCATGTTAGCGACAGAATGGCTCCTCATCAGTCACAATGTTTATTAAGCGTTAACGTCTAAGTCTGCATATTCTGCAACTAGAAGACCATTTAGAGAGTTTCCTCACTAACCTTCTTATTGCTGTTTAATAACTGCTGAGCAACCTGTTAGCCATGGGCACGATTTGACTTTAGAACAGGGAATATGTTCTGAGTTTGCTGTAGTTTTGTGGTCAGTCACCCACATTTACTACATGTTATTAATCTTGCAGGATGGCACCACTACCCTTTAACCCTCTCAAGGCAGGCGTTGCAGATTTGCAACAAGTAAAAGCTAACAACCCCACATACATTTTATGAGTTTTTTTACTCAGAAGTACCACTGCAGGTATTCTTTTGTGCATTAGCAACAAAAACTTAATTTGAGCCTGAGAGGGTTAAAGGGCTGTACACATGGAACTAGTGGTGTCATGGCAACCAGTGACCAATGACTTGTAGTCACAGTACTGAGTACTGAGGTAAACATTCCGCATCCACGAATGAGAACAAAGAATACCTCTGACTAACACATGACAGGGCTGTGAAACATACAATCTTAAAAAGTTAATTATATAAATAAACATGAAAAATGATATGCTAGCAAACAGACTTTACACATCAAGACTTAAAATCATCAGTCATAGCACTCATACTTTAACTGTTATTTACTGTTGTTATGCAGTAATGACAAGGTTTTTAAAGGATAACTGAAAGTGAAATATTGCCATGAATTATAAGCTGTTATTACATCTTTTCATGATAACTAATAAAGAGACCAGAAGCAACTAATAGTAATAATAATAATAATGGATTGGATTTATATAGCGCTTTTCAAGGCACCCAAAGCGCTTTACAATTCCCTTATTCATTCACTCTCACATTCACACACACTAATATGGACTTATAATTAAAATGTGTATTTTCATATAAAGTGTTCCCATTAATAAAACTACTAATAATAATGAAAGCACGTAAGTTACAATAACCCATTTAATATTAGTCACTTTGCGGGATGTCGGGCTAGTTATTTACTACTTTTAACTTATGCTAATCACACCATGACTTAGTAACACAAAGAAAATACAAACTTTTCCCTCCAAAGTGTTAAAGAAGTGAAGTTACCAGGCTTTATAGGTTATATTTGTGTATATGCAATCAGACAGGGGTGCTCAACAGGAAAGTCTGGGGGTGGTCTGGGTTAATGTGAAGGGTTAACAGACATCAGCGGTAATTACAGACATTGTGTTAAACAGATACAGTGACACAGCAGCAGCGCACAGATGCTCATTCAAGCTTTGACAACACATTTGTTTTCAAGGCACATCTACGCAGACAGAATGAGTCAAAATTAGCGACAAGTCAGACGTCTGCTTGGTGCTTCAGACACGCACGCACACGCACACGCGCACACAGAGCAGTAATTGAAACAGATGCGTGGTTGTGTGAACACACTGTCTAATCTCTCTCGTTCTTCTCACCCACCATTTCTTTCCTGTTTCTGTCCTTTGCAGTTTGTGTGTGCGAGACGGAAAATGAAGAGAGGGGAGACATATTGAGGGAGAGTCCTCGAGCAGCCGAGAGAACAGAGGAGCCACGACTGGAGGAGGACAGCTTCAAGAACAGCATGATCAAAGGCGGCGAGCGCGTGACCGTTTGGCTGCGGATCGTCGGCCACGCTGATCTCAGTTCCGATCAAAGTCGATTGGTCTGTCGGCCTCTGTCTTTTGGCGGTGCGGTGTTAACACTTAGCCCTCGGGGTGTGTTGTTGGTAATGGGGAGCACGAGGTCAGATAGATGTTGGATTTCAGTGGAGAGAGAGACTTCCTGCTGCAGAGCAGTGAAGCGCGGACAGAGGAGCGCACGCCAAAGGCAGGTAATTCAGGGTAATGCTGGAGCTCCCACGCCATTTATCCTCCAAAGAGATGAATAACATAACGTGGATCAAACCTCCGCTCGCACATTAGCTACACGACTGCTTAAATTGTTCAGTTCAAAGGACAAGCAGTGTTTTCCTTTGGGGATAAAGGTGTCAAGTGAACATCACAGGACTTAACCGTTTCTGGGCTGGAAGCTGCCAGCTGTGCTTCTATACGTGACAATCATATTTTACATTAAATAAAACGTGGCTCACTAAAGAGAGCTGAACTGACTGACTGAGGACAGAAACTTTAGTCATTCAGACAGAATGTATGCAAAGGAGAAAAATATATTAGTCGAGAAATGTATGTTAAAGGAGGCATGGTCCTCCCCGTGGTCCGACCCGGTCTCTAGCTGAACCACACATCTTTCTGTAGTCTGACATGCTTCACGTTGTGTGACGCAGCAGAGCACCACAGATGTGCAGAGAACACAAACTGCATCAGTTTGCTGTAAATGAATAAAACTGCACAGATAAACAACTCTCCATGTTATTCACTAGTCCAGAGCACAACACCTTCATCCTGTATTTCATTTTTTGTTGCGCCTGGCCTGCAGACATCTGGCCACTAAACAGACTGAAGGTGTGATTTATAGCGAAGGATGTTGGTTCATTTAGAGTTTTGTCTCTGTGAAAAAAAATAAACGACGGGAAAAACTACAAATCTTTAAGCTTATCAGATCCAGCCCAGAGTAAACGAAATACGTTTTTGAGTTTTTTCTTCTTATGGCTCTGTGTGATGTCAGAGACAGCAAAAATCCTTGATGCAGTCATCTCAGGCACACAGCTATGAGCAAATAAGCTCCGCCCTCCTGCTGTTCACACCTTCTGTTTAGAATAAGACGACAATCAGAAGAAAGTTGGTTTAAAGAAAGGGGGATAAGAGCTGAAATGGCTGTTTCAGTCTGAGGATGAACAGAGGAGCTGCATCTCCACCAAAGTCTAAGAATGAAATACAGAGCTGGAAATAAGCTAACCTGGCCCTCTTTGATCATTGATTTGACAGGGTGGATCCAAGCTGGTAGCTGGTAGTTAATGTTGGTTTAAATAAGAAAAAGCAGCAAAGGTGGTGAAAAGATATTAAAAATTATGTGCTGTACGAGGAATAAAACATGACATTTACCCTCAGAGTGGTGCGAGAGGATGAGGAGGTTGACACAGGAGGCCCCAGCTCCAGAGCCGAAGATGGTGATCCTCTCCGGGTCTCCGCCAAAGTGGCCTATGTTCTCGTTGAGCCAACGCAGAGCCTGAATCTGGTCCAGCAGGCCATAGTTCCCCTTAGCAGACTGATCTCCGGTGCTCAGGAAGCCTTATGTGTGGGACACAAAGATGGAGGGAGGAGAAAGGTGAGGGAGTGTTTTCAGAGGAGCATGGGGAGGATGGAGGGGGATGAAGAGAGAACAAGACAAGATGTTATTGGGAAGTGTAGCTTTAATATTTAGCATCTGTCAGGAAAGTGATTCCCACTTTGGCCTGTAGCTCCACTTCTGGGAGGGAACTGCAAGAGTGCAGAGAACGAGATCGCTCGAGTGTGCAGCACCATCAGTCATCAACAAGGAGTCACAGCCGGTGCACAGAGACAACAAAGGGAGTGGCACAAGCAATTGCTTTTTTCAGCCCCTGTCTTAATGACCTTTTCTCTCTCTAATGTCATTGAGCAGCAACTTCTGAACAGACCTAGTCAGAGTACGACAGCCGTGTGTCTGAGGAACGTGGGAGGCCCTGACCTGAATCGTACAAATAACCAGATCAAATATCATGACACATGATATGAAATAGAAAGAAGACCAAACAGAAACATTTACCTTCACAGGCAGAAGATTTTAGGACAGAAAAAAACAAGCGACACAGGTGCCACAGAAAAATGCATGAATATTCAAGTTCAATTAAAGTACCCCAGCAACTCAAAACACATGCTGCGTGTATCCCATCACACCCATGAAGACTCTGAAATGAGCCAATGTCTCAAAGGGAGCGATCTGAATTAACTGAGAATGTGGTCTGATTGGAAAAGCCAAAGCCTCACAGTTCCTTACATGCATCCTCTCATGAGCTGTGCAGGGGCCTAATTTGCATACATAATGTGAACTATACATACCCCGAACACCTCCACTCTATGCATGCAGCACTGTTAGCGCATTAATTATTCATTCGGCGCTTTGTCTGATATAATTGAGTTTAATTTCTTCATTGTACCTCATAATGACACAGAATGCTGTTTTCAAATCAAAATCCCCCCGTGGAACGATAAAGCAGCCGACGCTTCCCGAAGTTTCCCCGTAAGACGACCGTCCCGTTTATCAGAGCAGCCGAATAATACCTCGCCCTTTATGATGTTCGCCGACATTTGCCTCTCACGATTACTGGTAAGTATCTTCGATTGTTCCACCAAAGACCTAAATCTTTCCTATTTGAGTACCCATTAACCGGCAGCCCCTGAGATCCTAACGGGACTTCTAATTAAAGCTTTATTAAAGACAGGTGCACTGGAAAGGTCATCAATTAAGCTGCTACAGTGGAAGCTGAACACTTGTATGCTGGTAGCTGCTCTGATCAGCTCTAACACAAACATACAGTACGTTATCTGCTATGGGTGTCTCAGTAGTGTTATCAAGATAAACGGGAATTTGGGAGCCAGCACACCAACATAAACATTTCTTAATTTATTACACATTTAATCTGTTCAGCGCTGGTTACACTGGGAAACAGCTAGGCCCGACTGTATTTATGGGGTCTAATGATCTGTCTGTGGAGGAAGAACAAAGGAAGGAAAATCTAAATAAAGACAAATAACTCAGGCCAAATTAAAAACTAAAAATACAACCAAGAACTGTATATGTTATGTTATAATTGAACAGGAATTATAAGTGAGAGCGGGAAAGGGGGACTTACTAAGGGCTTACACTTGAGGATGTGCTGCCACCTTGTGGTAAAAACAAGAAAGACCACCTGCATTTTCTCCAAATATCCCTCACATACTACAGAAACACATCCTTGATAAGTAATAAGGATATTAAAATAAAACCACATAATTATGGCATGAATATGTAGTGGCTATAACTGAGAAATCACAGAGAAACCTGATGATAATTATTAAACACAAGAACAGCCAAAGAATTACAGTAAAAAGAAGACACAAGTTATTGGAATTTACTCGCATATTCGTCTAACTACACACCAGTGAACCTGCTGCACCTACATGAACGCATTAAAACTGGATAATCAAACTTCTTTCCATAAACCCCGAAGCCCCCACACTGCCGGAGCTGCTGCTGAGGAGGGAGGGCGTTTACTGCTCCGAGAAAGGTGGTGAGCTCATTACTGGCCACATGAATCCAGCTCATGGAGAGATGAGGAATATGAAGTTTGTTGCAGGGCGGGGGAGGGGAGGGGGGTGTTACCTGATCACCTTTTGTGCATGAATATTTCATTTTAATTGCACTGCACCACAAACGAGATGTCGATGCTGCACAGAGTTTACGGCAGAAACCAAACTAATTACGTCAAGTACATAATGAATCAATATTTTCCTACTTTCTCTTTCATTTTTACAGTTCACCTTTACGATCCATAAAACAAAACAGATCAAAGTGCGTCTCGAGAAGCATCTTATTCCATTACGGCTTTTGTGCTGCTCTTAAAAGACCACAAACACTCACAAATAAGCAGCATGTTTGGGTGCGTTAATTAAGCCGAGCACAAACAAGAGGCAAATAAGCTGCCTAATGCCCTACTGTAATCACCATGATATATTAAACATAACCAATTATGCTAATGAGGTCATTAATTTGGCTAATTACTGCAATGCATAGCAATATTTCTGTGTCAGCACAGTTTCTTGGACAAAGAAGAAAAAGAGAAAGCTCTGGCAGCAAAGTCCAAAGGTGGGAAATAATCATTATTGTGCAGCTTCTTGAAGCATCTATTATCACAGTGGCCGTGCCGGTGGAGCAGCAAAACACAGAAGTGGGCCACACAGAGCCAGCAGACACCCCAGATCCTCGTGTTATCTTTCATAACAGCCGAAGCCGCCGTCTTCTCTGCACCTCCACGCTGCGTCCATCTGACAGAGAGACAGTGCACAACAGCAGGCCACTTCACCCGTCCTCCCCCCCACCTACCCCCGTCTGCTCTAATCTGATAAAAGGCTTGAGAGAAAAAAAAAAA